TCTTTTTTCTTGAGAAAAATTGCTAATATCAGCATATTTCATGCTTATGTAAAATAGAGATAGTTTCTTAGATCATTAGTAAATGAGATGACCACAAAAAATATTTCATATAGAAAGTTTTTAAATTCAGTCTTTCAGTTTAGCAGATCTGGTTATGTAAACTCAAGTATGAACTTGATTACAAGATTTGAGATCTTGATTTTACCTCTTTGATACCTTTAAATCAAAGAAAATGATTTGATTAGAGTGAAACCGATTAAGTAAATTTGGATTTGAAAACTTATAGCAGGAATAATGGCTGCCTACTTTTAAAGCTGTTTTGGCCAAGTATGACCTAAGTGATCATATATTTGGTTATGATTTAAACACTTTTCTTTGGATTGAATTGATCTGTATAGTTTAGGTTTAAAGATTGGAAGGTTTACCAATTATTTTTCCAACACAGGGTTAATTTTAAAGAATATATTAACCTTCATTAAAAATCAGATTCAAAATTAAAAGTAATTAAAGCCTTCGGAGCATAATATATAACACTAGAGGTATTAAGGAAGATATTTAAATTTAGAAATCTTCGGTTTAAGAAAATAGTTAAAATATTAATAGGCAAATTAAAATAATTCATCATAAAAAATTCTGCATTAGTCTTGAATAAGACTAATTAGGGTGAAGGTGAATTAGAAAATTTTTACAATGCTTAGAGTATTGACGAAGTCATTTATGAATGATAAAATTCAGGTAGATTTTTATAGTTAAATGGCACCTGAGTCTTCCTTATTTATGGTCCAAAACATTTGTACTATACTGCTTAGAAGAAATGTTTTCATCTTCTAAGTGGAACAATAACATTCTGCGAGTAAGTTTACAGAGAGATCATTTTTAGCTGTTAAGGGAGTCTTAAAAGATAGGCTTTTTAGGCTATCTTAAAACGGAGGTTAATTGATGGGTTAAACTAATTAAATAGTTTAGAAGTGAAATTAGATTCAACACCGATGTTAGTAAGACTTTAGAAGATTTAATATTGAAAAACGTATCACCTAATATGTCTTTTAAAGTAGGAAGGTAATAGAAGATTAAATATAAGAAGTAGGCAGATTTTCAAAAAGTATATATTGAGTAATAAGGTGAGATCCAGGAGAGTTATAAACCACAGGCTAGATCTGGCAATGACATCTACTTCTTTCCTAGTCTGTAGAAATTTATTAAAAATACAATGTAGAGATATAAACAGCCCCCATAGCAAAACTCAGTAGAAATCTTATGAGTTTGTTTAAAGGGGAAGTTCAATATACTGGTTAGGAGTATTTAAAAGTAGCTATTGAGAAGGTAATTAGTAAAAGCCAATTCAAAAAGAAGGAGGAATAGTTAGTCCTATCAGAAGTGAGGTCAGAAATGAATAAGTCGGGTTATAAATTACATAACTGAATAAAATTAACAATAAATCTAATTTGAATTGAGGAATTTAAGATAATACCTTTTGGAGATTTATATTTAGTTCTATCATAATATTATGCCTAAGGAACTATTAAGGATTATCACAGCAAGTGATTTCCTGTTTAAAATATTTTCTTACTTATAACAGTTTGAGATTCAGGCCTCTTGAAACATATACCTCAAAACCAATACTTATCACGCTTAATGAAATGGTTATTTTAGTAACCCTATAATTCTTTATTAAAAATGGAGGTTGAACTATATTTAATACAGGGATAGCATATGCCAATAGTTCGACCTAAAAGGGAGAAATATTGAGTCAAATTATGTAAAGGCAGTTTATAGGGAGAAAGAATTCAAGGATTATGGCTATAGTGGGGCTATATTATAGGGACAGAATGGACAGATTATTAGAAAGATTACTCTTCTTTGTTGTTAAAATTTGAAGGAGACTCTCTGTTTGTAGTATTTCACAACTTTTATGTGGGTTTTTCCTAAATAGTAATATAGACTTTAAGTTTAACCGATTTAGGAAAAGTTAATTTATAGGGACAATCTTTAACGGAGGGAATAGTCAACTCCTTCCCTTTTTATGTTTCATTTGGTTATTGGAGGGAGAAACTTTATTAAATGCACGTCTTCCCTTAAATGACTAGTCTTAAGTGGTATTTCGGAAGACTGTCTGGGTTAGGAGTCCATAAATCTTACTCTCTTCCTTTCTTTCTGATTCCCTTAAATGTCATGGTCAGCACTCATCTTTGGTTGATGTATAACCCTAGCATCAAATTCTGGGATCGAAGAAGACTACTTCTTGGATGACCCTAATTATAACATCATCAGAAATATAAGATAATTAAATTTAAACTTTTATTTAGGATGACGCTACTCCAGACTGCTCTATTTCCACAAAAATTATTGTTTATTAGACAGTTTATGATGGTTTTTAGGTATTTTAATGCTGTTATAATTGTAGGTACTTTAGGAGTGAGCCAGCGGTTAAAATAGAAAATGATTTTTTTCATTATCACTCTAAAAAGAAGTATGAATAAGTTACAAGCTAATTCAAGTCATCACAATCAATCAATTAAGATATACTTAAAAAAAATTAATTTAACTTTCTCTTACATGTTCTTATAGTATTTTAAAGTACTGAATAGGAAGTTATTTAAAAATAAATAATACTCAATCTTTTTGAAGTTGATAGCATATATAATCTAATAGGCCTTGATGAAATAATTTAAATTAAATTAATTGAAGAACGTAAAAATAAGTCATAAATATAAAATTCTATCTATGGAATATAGAAACGAAGAAAATCATTTTTCAAGTAGATTTTATAAAACTGATTGAGAATACTATTTATATAACATAAATTTATATATTTACAAATTAACAACTTAATTTTAATTAATTAATTTTTGTTCCTATAAGTGCACTCAAGAATATCTTAAAAATAACAAATTATTTTAATATTATCTAGCATTTTTTATATTGATAATTAAAAATAGGAAAATGTAAAAATAATTTTGAAGTCAACTTATAAATAAATCAAAACCCATATTTTAAAGGTGATGTGAAACGCCATTTTAAAAGTTTATAATAAATAATTTCCAATTAAAATGGTTTTTTTTTTAACTCTAATTTGATACTAAATAAAAGAAATTTGATTTATCCACTTTAATTTTTAATAAATATTACATAAAATAATAAGATCTGTTTGCATAATTACATTTAACAATCCTTTAAATTTCTCAATATAAATAATGAGGAATCATAAATAATAAGCTAATAATATATTTCTAAAATCAGATCATAATCATTGGCTTAATATGGAATGTAGTATCCAGGAATATTAGGCTTAAAAATATTCTACAAAAAATAAAACAGAACAACTTTGATTAATTACTGGTAATAAATTTTTTCAGAAATGAATCTTCTTTTTGAAAAAATTTCCTAAGACTAAATAAAATTTCATCTTGAATTAAGGAAGGGTAAGAAATCTGTGAGCTTTTATTTTTGAATAAATACTTCAAGCTTATATTAGCTACTTCATTTTATTAAGACATATCAGTCATCATGAGGATTTTTAAAAAGAATGTAAAATGAATACGCAGAATTAAATTAGGTTAGCAAAATGAATTATTGCATAAAAAACCTAAATACTGTACTTTCGAATGAAATCCAGCTAAAATAAATCTTTACCAAATGATAAATTATAAATATTGATTTTTATAAATAGATTTCTGTATATCATAAATTAAAATACAAATCATTCTTTACTAAAGTCTTTAAGATCCTTTTTTTGCAACTCAAATAAATAGTCGAATTAGAGATCAAGGTTCTCGAAAATGATTACTGAATCTAATTTAATAAAATTTAAATTCTATATGAAGATTTTTAATCAAATTCGTCTCTAAGTTATAATCTTTAAACCTAAAACTAGATTTTTTCATCAAACTTATAACAAGCTATTTATCTTTTGTAATTAATTCATTCAAACTTAAATTGTCTGCCTCATGATTTTTAAACTTGTGAAACAAAAAAATACTAATTTTGATTTTCAAATATTTGCATTCATAGCATAAAGTACTTATTCCAAATATAATATTAAGGTTATTCGTATTATTCATAAGTTTAGCTAGAATAACATTAAAAATTGTGATAATTTAATAGAATAAAAATTATATTATTATTTTATTACTAGGAGAAGGAGATAAAGAAGATACAGCAAAAAAAGTTAATAAATTTATTAATGTAGAGATTGTAGTGAAATAGTGGATTTGGTTTTTTTCAAAGAATAAAAGCAAAATTCTTAAGATTCCATCTACTCTGAAAAGAAAGAACTCCAAGGTTTCAAAAATCGGAGAATTAATACAAATGAAACTCGACCTTTTCAGGGCTTAAAGGTATTAGGGACTAAATATCTTGGATAAGGGGTAGACGAATGAGGAGAAAACCAAAGAAGAATTGTAGTTATTATGAAGATTGACTTCTTAAAATCAAGTGAGATATCCTTTTAGTGACAATAAATGATGTCATAACTGGCCTAATGTATGTGAGATAGTAGAGTTGGAAAATTAATCTGGAGATTAATTTATGGGATTTTAATGTAAACCTTAAAAGCAAGTTACCAATAATGATTTTAATTAATACCGTAAAAAAAAAATTGTTATGAGTTTCAAACTTAAGAATACTCCAATGATTCAAACTTATAATCAAGGCTTAAAATCATAAGAGGCTCAGAAAGCTTGGTACACATGGTACTTTTTACAGCTAAAGGTGATATTCTTATTATTAGTTGAGGAAAAATTTCATAATACATGTTCAAGATGAGAAAGTGGAAGAGTCATGAAGGTTTATGAAGGAAATATATTAACTCTGATTTAAGAATTTGGACAATAATTGTAAAAACAATGAAGGATGTAGCCTTATTATCAAGAGAGTTCCTACTGTAAATCTCTTAGGGTTTTGAAACCTTCTCTAATTATTATTTTCTCGATCCAAAAAAGTTTTTCTCTAATCAAATACAATATTGAATAAAATTTAATAAATTAAAAAATATTAATTTTTCATTTAAATACTTAATTTAATATCTCTACTTTACATTTACCACAGAAATGTACACATGGATACAAATCTTTGGATGTATCAATATTGAGAGTCTAATAATAATAAATAGAAATTGATACAAATGATTGATTTGTGGATTACTTTGTCCATTTCACGTACTTCTTTTGAATATCCACTTCAACAATTATAATATCATTTGTTGAAAATGGAAATGCTATTTATTTTTAATGTTTATCTTATTAATCATGATTATAACATTAACCTTAAAATTGTATATTATATGTTCTATTTTGATTCTATTAATATTATAAATATACCCATATCCAATATTATGACAAACACCATAATTCCTACTCTACACAATATCCCTAAAACCAATTCCTATCATAATGCTAGATAATTCAATAATTTTAATAGCAAATTAGATCAGACCATTCTTAGGGATCATTTAATCACACATACAACATTACCAACCACTTTAACTTGTTTCAATAAGTTTTCCATTTTAAGTAACTGAACAATTACTATTCTTATAAATTGTTGAGAATGTCAGTGATTAAGAGAATTACTAAACCTACTTCTAATAAAGCATTTACTTATACCAAAGTTTATTATAATTATTTCAACATTTCCTCATTCTTCTCATTTTACTCTTAGCACATCTATAATTCTCCTTCCTTCTCCTTAACTATAATTTCACATTAAGTTTCTATTAAAGATTCTTTGGGAATAACCATATCACACATGACAATTTACAAGCTTATCATTAAATAATTTAACGAAAAAATATCCAAAAGTGCAATCATTGTATAAGAATTTTTAGATTAGGTTAGTCCAGAATTATAAGTATTTTAATTCAATTAGCAGTATTAGTCACAAGCTTCGGAATTGAGACTTTCTATTACTAATAATTCCATTTAGACTATTATTTAGATTAATTATTTTGTTGGCTTAACAAGAAATTTATTATCAATGGTATGGCACTTTTATAAAAATAAATATTTTCATTTTGATCTTTCTGTTTTTTCTTTCATATTTTTTGGATTCTGATTTCATAGCAAAATAATACAAATATATTTTTGATTATATTATGTATTTCAATTAATATTCAATTAAAAAAAACATGACTAAAATGATTTAAGATATGAGTATTTGATCCTTAATTTCGAATCAAACAAAATCAGGATAATCATATAATATCACTTTTACCACATTTGGTAGAATTTAATGCGAAAAGTTATTAAAATTGAAGTTCTACAAAAAAGTTCATCCAATTGATTCGTTACTCAATTTTTAGAGCTGCTTATAGTTTTCTTTTAATATGAACCCCTTTATCATCTATAAGAGACTTATATTATGAATAAAACATATGAAGATCCAAACAGAATGAATGCCTATGCATAAACAGAATGCATCTGTTAAATTAATTAAGTTTATAGGATGTAATATCTATTTTATGAATATATATTCAACCTTGAGTTAATTTCTTTTTCTTTTATCTGTATGAATACAATTTAGAAACAAAATAGTGAAAATGCAATTTTCTCAACTGAAAAAATTCATAAATTTGAAATAAACTTTTTTTATTAAATTTAGTTTATAACCTGAGTGGCTAAAGTATGTGATCGTTCCAAATATTAATTTTCTTATGAAAGAAATAAAAGATAAATTTCCAAATTAAATATAAACAATAAAATTTAACTTTTTACAATTTATTAATTCAATAATGATATCTTAAAATACTAAATGCTAAATTCTATAATTTAACACCTATATATTTACCATTTATTATAGAAATAAAGGATTTATATTATTCAATAAAGTTTAAAAAGGCCAAAATTAGAATATACTTAATTGAGTATAATTTCAGATACTTTATTATTAAAAGCCAATCCTATTAAATTGATAAATTGAAGCATGATTAACGATTAATTTATTTGCCTTTTATAGGAGTTATTTGATTATCTAAAAACTTAGGATTCATTAATTCCTTTATTCTTTGTTTTATATAGATTATCAGCAACTTTTTCTTTAATGGTAATACTCTTTTTTTACTTCGTCATGTTTGAAGGACTTTCAAAATTCTCGGTAAGTCAAAATTTCTAACTTTTTCCTTCAATTTAGGTATATTCTAACTTGTGGCATGAATGGATCTTCAATAATATTTTTGTTAATGTCTAATGAGATTTTTATATTAATGACATTTTTTTATAATTTTATATTTGAAAAATAAAAATGATGGAACAATGTGAATATCCTTAATTTATTTTTATTAAAAAATTTATCAGATGAATACGAAATGATTTTATTATAAAGATTTAATCTAAAGTGACTATTTAGGCATATAAAGCTGAAAATAATTTTTATATACAAGGTAAATTG